GAAACAGCGTGTAGAGGGCCAAGCCGCCGGCATCTTGCAGAGAATCCACTCTGCAACTCCTTAGGTCATGGAGTCCCGAGCAGGCGACTGGCTGAGGCTGGAAGTGGAAGCGCAAACGGGGCCTAAACAAATCTAGGCGGAAACTGATCTGGAGACAGGGCACTTGCCCAACCCCAAACCCAATCAGAAACAGTAGTCCAGGAGCCCAAGCCCGCCTGCTCAACGACCTTTCCTCCCCTTGTACTCTTCCAGGGGGCCAAGGCTGGCTGTGGGGAGGCTGCAGTGACAACGTGGGCTTCGGAGAGGCAATATCCAAGCAGTTCGTCGATGCCCTAGAGACAGGACAGGATGCCCGGGCAGCCATGAACCTGCACAACAACGAGGCCGGCCGCAAGGTGAGTCCTGCAGCCCCTGGGGTGAGGCAGCTGGCTCCATCCACCAGCCCTAGGTGCGGACTGCTCTTCAGTTCATTTGGCGGATTGGAAAAGCGAGGGACCAAGCCGGCCAGCCATGTGGACTAGCTAGAGGCCTCACAACCCCCGCAGTGTCGACTCCCCACCTCCTAGACCCTGGCCAGCTCACTCTCAGCTCTCTCCCCAGGCGGTGAAGGGCACCATGAAACGCACGTGTAAGTGCCACGGTGTGTCAGGCAGCTGCACCACGCAGACCTGCTGGCTGCAGCTGCCTGAGTTCCGCGAGGTGGGCGCGCACCTGAAGGAGAAGTACCACGCGGCTCTCAAGGTGGACCTGCTGCAGGGGGCCGGCAACAGTGCTGCGGGCCGAGGCGCCATCGCCGACACCTTCCGCTCCATCTCCACGCGGGAGCTGGTGCACTTGGAGGACTCCCCGGACTACTGCCTGGAGAACAAAACGCTAGGACTGCTGGGTACCGAAGGCCGAGAGTGCCTGCGGCGCGGGCGGGCCCTGGGCCGCTGGGAGCGCCGCAGCTGCCGGCGCCTCTGCGGCGACTGCGGGCTGGCGGTGGAGGAGCGCCGCGCCGAGACCGTGTCCAGCTGCAACTGCAAGTTCCACTGGTGCTGCGCCGTCCGCTGCGAGCAGTGCCGCCGGCGCGTTACCAAGTACTTCTGCAGCCGCGCCGAGCGGCCGCGGGGGGGCGCGGCGCACAAAGCCGCCAGAAAAGCCTGACGGGCTCCTCCCCCCCTCCTTTCCCCATTTGTCCTAGGCTTCTTTTAGAGACCCCAGTAATAGAGGAACCTAGGGAATGCACCCCCCCAACATTCCCCTGCCCAGGGATTCCCAAGAGGGAGAGACGCCGCCATCTCTCCAGAGCTTGCCACTCTCCAACCCCTTCCCCCAATTCCTCTGCGCTCTCCTCGAACTCAGTCTGCATCCTCCTCACCAGCCGCCCTGAGGGCTGAGAACTCCCAGTCCTGAGATTCTGAGCTATTGATCTTCCCTGGACTAGGATGAGAATAGGCGTTCCTCCCTCCCCTTCTAGCTGCCCTAACGCCTGACCTGGCCTATGGAGCCTGTGGAAGAACACTTCTCGGATATGCAGGGCCAGGGTAAAGCCATGCTTTTCTTTTTTTTCCATTTTCTTGCACCCCTCCCCCCATTTTTCTGCTGCCAGGTCTCTACCATAGCCACTTCTTTTTTTTTCTGCAGAGCTCCTTCCGTGCTCCTGATTCCCTGCTAACTGTTGGCAGACACCCCAGCAATCTCTAATGCTTTCTCTCGTTCCCTTTCCCTGAAGAAAACTGTGACAAAACTGACCCCGGGAAAAGCATGTCTTTGGGGCTTGTTTCCTAGAGGCAGGCCCTGAAGATGGAAGAAGTGGGAACCCTAGCAGGCTGACTCGCTGGAAACCAAGGGTGCTACTCATCCTCGTGATACCATGTCTCCAGCGGACTTCACCAGTCAGGCAGTGACCTAGTGACCTTCCTAGACAATCACCCGAGGTGCTCCAGGCATACCCATAATGTCTAGGAACTATGTAAGGCAGATTACCAGTCATTTCCTACCCCTTAAACTTCTCCCTGCTCCTAACCTATTTCTTCCTAGCAACCAAATTTACCTCTTCTCCTTCCCCGAAGGATCCTTGTTTCTCTGAGCCATGACTGAGCTAAATAAAGCCCATTTCCCATTCAGACCCCAGTTTGAGGAAGGAGAAGCTGGGACCTTTCCTTTTTTTGCAAACCTGGATCTCCAACAGGCAGGATTCAGGGCACTGGATACTTGCCTTCAATAGGTAAACTTCCTGCAATGAAACTTTCCAATTGGAAGCTCAGCACCTTGAACTTTAATTTATTGCAGTCACTGTGATACGTGCCTTCTTTTCTAGGTATTGAACTTATTCTTGGGGACATCGGGGAGGGTGGGTGGAAGATATAAAGTCTAGGCCCTCTCTTCCCTCCCCCCTTGCCAGAACACTATCCTCCCTTAAGCCTCACTTCCCCGATGGCCTAAGTAGTTGTGCTGGCCTGACAGAGGCTAATCTGCCAACAATTAGTGAATCATCCACATAAATCTTCCCTCAGTACATTCACTCAGTAGCTCAGAGCTCACTGCTTGTGTACTTGAGACAGAAGCAGTACAGCAGGGACTCGCTTCTGAAAGAGGGCTCTGGAAAGGGAAGAGTCAATCCCTGACAGACTCTCTGTAACCCATGGAGCTTCCCAGCCATCTCCCTTCTCCTAAGCTGGTCATGGGTCTGGACACGGGACAGCTCTTTAGGAGAACTGGTGAGATGCCAGACCACCTCATCCTACCTCCCAGAGTAGGAGAGAGCACAGAGATGTGGCTCCAAGTAGGTAACAGGGGCTGAGGCTTTAGAGGCCAACTCAGGAGACTGGAAAGACTCCTTTTATATTCCAAACTGGGACAGTGGCCAGGTCAGACTCAAACCCCGAGCCTCATCCCTATACATCCTCTGGTCAACTAACACCCACTGAGGGGAGAGGCTGCGTGTCCTTCCTCACAGGGGACACACTTCCCTTCAGGGTCTCCTAGTGCTTCATTTCCAGCTCTATCAGCAAAAGGCCTTTTTTGCTCCTTCCCTCAGCTTTGATCTGGGCCCCGTGAATCTCCCAACTTGTCCTTCCCTAATCAAGTAGCAGCATGTATTAACCTGGCTGTCCCACTTGGCAGAATTATTTGATAATGTGCAGTAAGAAAATCTGGCAAGGCAGCTAGAAAATATAAAACTACAGGGTTGTAAAGGAAAACTGCATTCTCCAGGAGGTCTCTCAGCATAAAAGTAGGGAACTATTGTGCTTCATATTTGATAATTCCAGGTCAGTACTTGAAACCTGTCATGCTGCCAGAAAGTTCTTTCATAGGTTGTTGTTTTGTATTCCCAAATGGATATAATTGATACCAGATTCATCTGAGTCCTATAAAGAAAACATTATTGAGCTACCTTAGATCTGTATTGCTTTTTTTCCTCTCTTGCATTATCCATTCATTCATCTGGTCATTCAGCAAACACTGGAGTGCAAATACAGTGGTGAACAACACAGCAACCTCCTTGCATTCATGGAGTTTAGGTTCTCTCTTACACTCAATCACCAGGGCTGTGTTCCCCTTTGCAAATATGGACAACTCCAGAACAGCTGCTTGGGAAGACACCTTGGAGGTCAGCTAGTCAAACCTTTTGTTTTACAGATTAAAACTGATGCTGAAAAAGATGTCCGTCTTGTTCAGCCAACTAGTAAGTTACCATGGGGTACATACTGGAACCCTGATCCCTTCCCTCCTCTTGTGTACTTTTAAGGCCCATCTGTCTCCACCAGAGAGAAGCATAGGGAGATCCTGAGAAGTGACAAGGACACTGGGTGGGGGGAGGGGGGCGCAAAACTCTCTCCTTCCTGTCCCTGGCCTGTGAGCCTACACACAGGCAGAACTTTCTTTTCTTGAAAAGAATCCCAGCCTCAACTGGCCTTAGCAGCAGGTTAGGGCAAAGACAGAGCCAGGGTCGTGCTCAGCCCTGGTGGTGCTGGCGGTGGTGGGAGGGGAGGGCAGGCCAGGGCACCCGCCTATTGTGGGTCTGGATTGGATGCTTCCACTCATTCATTTCCTTTTAATTAACCCGCATTCCTGGAGGAGAAATATTTATGTTGGCTCCCATAGAGGCAATCCGCAGACTGGAAAGAAGGGGGAAGAAAGCCTGCCTTAGCAAAACAATATCTCTAAAGAGCTCAAGAAGAGAAAATAAGAGAACAAAATGCCATTAAAATAGCCTTCTACCCCCACTGGAGTCAATGAAAACTTCATTTCACATGCTAATCCCCCACTCCGCCCATTCTCTTCTCACAACACCTTTCCCGAAAGTGTTTGGGAAAAGTCTTCGCAGTCAGTACACAGCTCCCGCAGCTCAGACTTCTCCTTGTGTTAGTTCAGGGCCCCAAGTGGGGCTCTCACTCCAGCAGCGGCTTTTTTCTCCCCCCCTTTAATTTAAACAAAGACTTCGGAGTTCATCAACCTCCCACTGAAATTCACAGCTGCTGAACAAACTAATCCCCTCTCCCTGCCTTTCTTCCCTTCAATGGGCTCTTGGCTTCAAAGACACTTTGGGAAAGGACTTTGCTGGGGCTCACACTGCTTCATCAATAGAAGTTAGTGCAAGTATTATCTGAAGAGCAAGTGGCTTTACAAACAAATACTGCCTAACAATCCCTTCCTCCCAAACACACACATCTAGCCCACAGACATGATGGGATCTACAACAGGATTAGAGATCGTACCCCCGGCTTCACACCCAGCCCCTTTGTGCAGCTGAGCTCGGCCCTGAAGTGGTGTGGGGAAAACCCTAGAGCTGAACGTCAGGCACGGACGGAGACATACAGACACACACACACACACACACACACAGCAGAGTGGCCACAGATGCTGCAAGGCTTTCTCCTTGCACCTTCCTTTCTTCAACTCTCTAGACTCCTTATGTGTCCTGCCTTACTGGGATGCAGGGAGCAAGAACAAAGAGGCTAGGAAGAGAGGTAAGGGCAAAATAGGACCAGAGGAGACAATAATTGGGAGATGACTGAGGAAACCAAATCAAAGCAGCTTTATTGCCCATTAAGTACATCAGTGCTTCAAATGCAAAGTTCAACCATAAAAAGTGCAGCCAGAGAAGGCAGCCCTGAGACATGTGGGGGCTGAGGAGAAGGGCCTCCAACTCTTGAGGAGCAGTGCTAGAAAAGTCTTTTGTTAATATGGCTCCTATTCCAGAACTGGGCTGATGATCACAGAATGAATGGTCAAGGGCCATGTGCCAGGGCCCCGACAGGTCAAGTCAGGACCATTCCCCGCAGGCAGTGGTCCCTCTCCTCCTGTTTCCCAGCCTAGGACAGCTCCCAGCAAAAGGCAATGCACCTCTTCTATTTTCCGCCTAACTTAGCCCACCCTTATAATACTGGCAGATGAGTAGGTCCTTGTAAAAAGGGCCAAAGTTCCTCCTTTTGGTTCTGCTCAGCACCCACCCCTCACGTCCATGACTTGTTCAAAAGATGAACAACAGTCAACTCTACCCCAGCTTCTGGGGCTCAGAGAAAAAAGGACCTGGAAATATGAAGTTGGAGGCAAGGAGAAGGTAAGGTCAGGCTCAACACCCACAGAAGGGGAAAAACAAAAGCCCCACAAGCTGGGTACAGCAGAGGCAGACTTGGAGGTAATGATCCTGCTTACCCCCTCAGAAGCCACTTAATCAGAATATCCCTGGGGTAGAAGACGCCCTGCTCTGGGTCCTGTCAGAGTACAGAATCAGGGAAAGTGAAGAACCAGCTCTCTGCTCTGCCTCAGAGGCTGAGAGAGCCTTGGGTGGATTCTAGAAGGCCAGGCATAAAGGCGTGGAAAGCAGGCACTCTGCTAGTTCAGAGGCAAGCCCACAGCATCATATCCCTGGCAGCAAGGGAAGAGCGTGGGGAAAAACAAACAATCTATTCCGAAATTCCCCCTTTTCTGCAGGGAGGAGTTAAGTAACAGCAGAAGTAGCCTCTTGGCAAGAGAGGCTACCTGGTTTACATGTACAGCTTATGAGCAATGGTGAGGACAGCCTTCAGGACAAGCATGAAGCTGGAGACCTCGCTGAAGCTGCTGTAGCCCACCACCTGGGCATGCACCGCAAGGCCCTGCTCAAAGTTTCCTGCGTCCACACATCGGGCAACCTCATGGAGCCCAGCCAGGACATGAGGCGAGAGCTGTGGAGGGACAGACGCTTAGGTCAGGGAGCCCAACCCAGACCCTACCCTGGGAGCATGGAAGGGTAAGAGAGGATTTAAGTTCTGGAGCCCAGGCTGGGCAAGATGGCTATGTATGTATATTGTGGGGAACCCAGGTCAGTGAGACCTATGGGAGAGGACACTGGGGTCCCTTTGGCCACAGGTGATGGTGGGGGGCAGGGGGCAGAGGGCCACCACTAAGTGTACTTACTGTGCCCTGGCAGAGCTTAGCATATAGACATTCTAGACGTTGGGCTGCCTTCTCCAGCTTCCGTTTTGTCTTCTGCAGGGAGGGAAATGGATTCTGAGTCCAGGCCCTAAGACTGACACTACACAGGACTCTAGAGAAGCACAGTATGTCCGAGCTGGAACGACTTAATGCTACTGCTTTCATTTCACAGGAGAGGAAATGGGGGCCCAAAGAGGGTAAGTGACTTGCTTAAGCTGACACAGCCACTGCATGAACAGCAGGTCCCCTTACTCCTAGTTTCACCCTCCCTCCAGTGCCCCATGCTGCCTTTCCAGGAGTTAAGCCTCAATGCTGCTGGGCCCTGCTACCTAGGTGCTAGACTCAGATCAGCCGAGCCCCCCACCCCTTGCCCCACACGGATATCAAATAAGTACAAGACACAAGACAGCGGGTCCGGGGACCATGAGAAAAGAGTCACACAAGGAACTGATCTACAGCTCAGGGATCCTGGGAGCAAGCTAGTGGTGTGAGGAGGACATCGTGGGGAAGGCTCAGACTTACTATATCAGTGGCAGACAGGGAGCAGCGTCGCAGAAGCTTCTCAAAGCTGGTCTTCAGGGACTGATGCTCTGGAGGCAGCTCTTTCCTTTCCACCTTCCGAGGGGTCCGCTGCTGAAGTTGCTGAGGGAGGAGCAGGGAGACAGGGCAGACTGGCAAGCTGTCCTTCTCACAGCTTCCCTACGGACTAGTCCTCAGTGACCCAGTGTCACGCCGCTCCCACTAGACCACAGCAAAGCTGGGGGAAGGGGCGCGCCCTCTTCTCTGCAGTAAGGACATTTGGTACCTGTCCACACCGGTTCCCCAGTGCAGAATCGGCCTCCCCTCTGAGGAATGAGGCCCATCTACCCATGCTCCCTGCTTTTCTATACCCAAGGAGAGTTGGACAGTTTCCAAGAGGAAGGGAACGCACTGTTCCTCTCACCTGCAGGCTGAATTCTCCTGGAGCTCCTGGGGAAGCATGGTCCACACCAAGGACAGAAGGCTGTGAGGAAAGGAACCCTCGTGGCTCAGGGGTGAGGCTCATAACTGGAGCAGTAATTGGTACCGGGGGCATAAATGTCTCTGGCAACTAAAGCCAGAAAAAGAAAGGCATATGAGTCTAAACTGAGAGACTTCCTAGGCCCTGCTTTGAGAGAATAACAGACGGGGCGCCTGGGTGGCTCAGTCAGTTAAGCGTCTGCCTTCGGCTCAGGTCATGATCCCGGGGTCCTGGGATCGAGCCCCGCATCGGCTCCCTGCTCAGCGGGGAAGCCTGCTTCTCCCTCTCCCACTCCCCCGACTTGCGTTCCCTCTCTCGCTGTCTCTCTCTCTGTGTCAAATAAATAAATAAATAAATCTTAAAAAAAAGAGAGAGCAACAGAAGTCCTGAGTGAGCAAGGGAACAGAATAGCGAGTAGGGAGCCAGGAGATGGGGAAACTGATACATGTATGCAAGAAGGAAACAGGAGATGGCCGAGGGGAGAAGAATGAGTGGGGAAAAAGACAAGACAGTCTGTGTGCCTGACAAAGGGACGGGCTGAATTCTGGAAGAAACTAGAATGTGGGTCATTGGTGAATGTATGAGGGGTAGGTGGCAAGAGATGAACTGACCTTTTTCCTCTGGAGGTCTGCCCTGGGCATTGGGGCATTTTTCAAGGAAGCTTGAGGTCCTGCATAGCACAAAGATAGAGGTATTTAGGGGCACAGTCAGGAACACTGGAAATCTTCAGTCTGAAGGCCAGCAAAATTATTTTAGTTGGAGTCAATCACACCTCCCTCTGCAGACCAACCATGTGCTCAGTTGACATTCTCCAGCCCAACGGCCCCCAATTCACTGGCGTGAGGAAAGACTCAAGGTGACAGTGGAAGGGGGAAGAGAAGGAGGCAATGACCCAGAAGATGGAAGCTGTGGAAAGAAGACTGACCTGGGTGAGCAGTCGAGGGGCCAGTGGTCGGGAGGGCACTAGAGCATGCAGCACCTGGCCCTCCTGGAGGGTGTGTCGCAGAGAAACTGACAGGAGGGGCTAGGGACCGGAAGCTTGTAGGGCTGACCCCTGGTAGTCTCACAGGAAGTGGAGGGAACAGTCGAGCAGTCTCGGCCAGGGAGGTAGAGCCAGGCTGTATGACATCTGGGGGTACCATGGGTGGAGGTGGACCAGGAAGAGGCCATGTTCCAGGGAACCCCATGAGGTTAGGAACTTGGGCTTTTTGCCCTCTTAACAACAGTGGCTCAAATAAAGCTGAAAAGGAACAAAAACAGGCCATTTGCCATCAAACTTCAATTTGGGAGAGACTCGGAGCATATCAGGGAAGAATAAGGCAGCAATAAAACCAACCAACCAACCAACCTAATAATGCTAACGAAAGATTAATATATGCATATGGAGATCTACCATTCACAAAATACTTTTAACTATTCCTCATTTGACCCTAAAAACAATCCTGTGGGGTTGAAATGACCAATATAGTAGCTATTCTCACTTTTCAAAAGAAACAGTGGCTAAGTTTGCTGCCCATTGATACAAAGCCAGTAAGTGACAGTACTGGGGATTCAGACTTCAAATTCTAAGCTCTTCTTGCTACATAGTAGACATAATGCCTCCCATACCCATGCTGGCCATGCCAACTGTTTTCCTCTGTGCTCTGCCCAGACAACTCTTGATTCACTCACTCATTCACTCACCAGGCCTTACACCAGGGGCCAAAGGCAAAGGCTGGGCTGCCTGGGGCTCAGGTACCCTGTAATCATTTAGATTCTGTGTTTGGAAGCTTTGATAAGGGCCAGGATGGGAAGGTATCAAGGGTGTCAGCAGTGATGACTGAGGTGTGAAAATCCTTGGCCTTGGAGATGGAGTTGGAACCTGTGAAGAGAAAAAAGGGTCAGCACTTGGAAAAGAAAGGTAAGTAATTGAAAATAGAAGAACAATAAAGAATATGAAACAAAAAGTTAGCTCTTAAAATGAAAATCAACAGAACTGATAAATTTCTATAAAAAGTGACAAAGAGGGGCGCCTGGGTGGCTCAGTCTGTTAAGCATCTGCCTTGGGCTCAGGTCATGATCCTGGAGTCCCACGATCCCTGCATCAGGCTCCCTGCTCAGCGGGGAGTCTGCTTCTCTTTCTTCCTCTGCCCCTCCCCCTGCTCGTGCTCTTTCTCTCTCTCTCTCCCTCACTCTCTCTCTCAAATAAATAAAATCTTAAAAAAGAAAGAAAAACAAAGTGGGAGGAATTATTCTTCCTCATGTCAGGACTTACTATATAGAGGTAGTATTCAAGACAGAGTGGTATTGTCAGAGGGAAAGACACACAGATCAACAGAATAGAACAGAGATCTGAAAAATAAATCCATAAAAATATGCCCAGGGCGCCTGGGTGGCTCAGTTGGTTAAGCGACTGCCTTCGGCTCAGGTCATGATCCTGGAGTCCCTGGATCGAGTCCCACATCGGGCTCCCTGCTCGGCAGGGGGTCTGCTTCTGCCTCTGGCCCTCCCCCCTCTCATGTGCTCTCTCTCATTCTCTCTCTC